AATGCAATAATTTTCCTGTTCCACAATAGTCATTAATAATTAAAATTGTATTAACAAATAAAAATAAAAAATTAAAATTATTATTAATATAATAATTATTAATTATTATTTGTTAATACAATTTTAATTATTAATGACTATTGTGGAACAGGAAAATTATTGCATTTTATAAAAAATAAGCACTGATGAAGTTCTTAATAAAGAACGAAATATTTGCCAACATTTTTAAATAAATGCGTTTAATTGTTCGGGTCTGTAAGCTGATAAGAATCAAAATACAATACAAAAAAATTTAAACAGACGATAAACAACATCATATCAGTAGTTTTAATAATCATCGTTATGATTATCTGAGTAGTATATACTGGAGGTAAATATACCGGAAAATATTTAAAATTATAACAAGACTTAGTAGCAGTTTAATTAATGCCATCATGATTTCCTAAAAGTTGTCCTGTTTTAAATTTTACTTACGCTTCGTGATATCTGATAAATAAGCCCTGGCTAGCTATACAGAGGCACCTAAAAATAATTTGCAAATGTTTTTTATACTACATTCTAATATGAATATATAAAAAAATTTGTTATGTCATGTTATAAGGTTTTAAGATTCTAACATTTATTGTTAGGCTTTATAAAAACTATTTAATAAAGACACATTGTTAAAAAAATAAAATAAAAAAAGGAATTCGTTCTCTGATACCACCTATTTCCTTTTACATGCACCACTGGTTCTAGAGCGCTAAGTTTTGTTTGGCCCACATTTTGTTATCTTCACAGTGTTTTTGCCCAATTCATTTTCAACCTAAAGCTTGAATTCTTTATATGCACTTCAAATTATACAAGTTAATGTTCATTAACTACTCAATATTCTAATGTTGTTGTTTGTTATTTTTTACCTCCCTTTCTGTAGCGAGACGCCATGGCGAAACCTATTACATTTATTGTTCTCACTCGTGATAAACTAGAATTATTGCAAAAATATCTGAGAGCTCTGATAATAGATATGGATTGTGCACTTTAGAGTCAGTAAGAAGAACCGCAAACCGTCAGTTTATGGTACGAAGAGCATATTTTACGGAAGACCAGGATACTTATATATTTTTGTAAATATATTTTACATAAAAACATTTAAGTATTCGACGCATCGTCTAGATATATAAGTGCTGTATTCTTACATCGATTATTATAATATGGCCCTACCGAGCTTTTTCTCTCGTTGTTTGTGATACTAAAATCCTTGCTTAGTGATAAACTTAGCTAAATAACTAACTAAACTAAACTAATAAACTAAACTAAACCAAGTTTGAATAAACACAAGGGTGCTTTAATTACAAACGTAGTTTTGTATCAAGGTTTAGTTACGGTTGAAGACTATATATGATAGCATTTTATTTGGAATCCAAATCGAAATTGATTCTAAATTGGCCCAATACATAAACAGTAAACATAAAACATCCTATTTCTTTATATTAGTATGTAACCTAACTGAGAGATATTAATTCAAGAGGTAATTCCTAAGTTCAACAAAAACTATTATGGAAGTAGGTTTATTTTAATATTAAGCTACATATGGATGTCACGTCAGGTCTTTCCGACCAGGAAGCAGCCTTTATATAAAATAAAAGTAGGTGGTAGAAGTAGGTTTATTTCAACATTAAGTGCAATACAGGATCTCATATGAAACAGCAGTTCTTATGTACTATATGGTAGATATATATATGAAATAGTCATAGATGTATATAGCTGACTTTAATGGTAGTCTGAAATAAAGAAAGTCTGCTTTAACTTTTATTTCAAGAAATATTTATTGGTAAAAAAATATTGCAAAATTTTGGGCATAATCTGAAACTGATCTGGCTCAATTAAATGGTTCTAGAAGTAAAGTTAAATACTGATTTTATTAATTTCCACGATACTGTAGTAATTCTCGAACATGTAACAATTACAAACAATTAAAAACAATATTACATGATTTATTTTTGTGTTCACATTAAGTTTTAGAAAATAATCTCAAAAACTAACAAAGATAATGGGGTAAAAATTGTTACTGTAGACATACCAGGTTTGTTCATTCCGTGCCTTTTGTGTTTTTACATTTAAATTTTTTTCTTTTGAGTGTTGAGTGTTGAGTGTTTCAACTGCATCTGCGTAATAAATATTAAAATTCAACAAAATTTACATTGTTTATTTCATAAATAATTTCTTATATAAATTTTCTCGGCATGTTTATCTTTGGTTAAGTAGAAATATTTGTACTTGATGCATCCAAAATTATCTTATTGCGCAGCATTTATAAAATTCGCTTGAGTGGCAGGTAGCATATTCGTGGAAAAGTAGATGAAGGAACTTGTCAGTTGGTCTCGAGTCTTCAATAAAATTACCAAAAATAGAAATAGAATGTTTATCTCTCTTTATATATTTTTGGATAAACATTTTATATACAAAAGCTTAAGTAATGATTAATGCTATTCTCTTAATGCTGCTTTCAGGGATCAAAATTCAAATTATACATTGTCAAAATTTCCAAAAATATATAACAAACATAGAAAAATATGGTTTAAGTCTCTAAAACAATATAACCCATTTTATGTTTTAATATATAATGGCTTAAGCTCTATTATTATTTTTATATATCTTAAGCTTTAAGAAAATTTATAAAAGAAAAATATAACACCAATATAACTATACACTGTAAATACTTGTACATAATTGAATGGAAGTAACTCAGGAGGGGAGTTATTTGAGGAGGTTTCCCACTAAAAGTA